ACAGAATATCTATACCCCGCCATTCTTCATATAAGAAAGAAAGGAAGGGAAAAAAAAGAAAGGAACTAGAAAACAGTTTGGCAGTTCCTCAAAAAGTTATCTTATGAGCCAGTAATTCCACTCCCAAATGTATACCCAAAGGAACTGAAAACATATGTCCACATAAAAACTTGTATCTGAATGTTGATAATAGCTAAAAAAAAAAAATGAAAATCAAATGTCCAATAAGTGTGCCTCGATGAGTAAAGTGTGGTATATTCATATAATGGAATATTATTCAGTCATAGAAAGGAATGAAGTACTGCCACATCCTACAACATAGATGAACCAGAAAAGATTACATTAAGTGAAAGAAGCTAGGCACACAAGTCCACAAATTATATAATTCCACATTTACATGAAATGTACAGAATAGACAAATTCATACAAACAAAAAGTAGGTGAGTGGTTACTAGTGGCTGGGGAAAGGGGAACAGGAAGTGACTACTAATGAATACAGGGTTTCGTTTCAGGGTAATGAAAATATTCTAAAGTGGTAATGGCTGCAAAGCCTTATGAATAGACTGTAAAACAATGATTTTGTACAATTCAAAAAAGGAGGCTTTGTGTTGTGTGAACTGTACCTCAATTCAAAAATCTGTACGCAAGGGGAAAAAGAAATGTAAAACACACACACACAATCTGTTCATTTGTGCAAAAGAGATAATGGAAGGATAAACCATAAACTAAAAAAACTGGTTACCTAAAGTCATGAAAAACAGGCGAGGGAAAAGGTGAGGGGAAGAGAATGGGAATAGGGTAGTAGGAATAAGAAGTGACAATTCTATAAGTATATTTTAGTAATAGTAAAGCCTCATATACCAAAACAAATAAAAATCAACCAGAATTGGGGGAACCCAAAACAGAATACAAAGAGTAAGAACCTAACTGCATTACAGATGAATAATATAACCACACTAAAGGAAACGAGGAAGAAAAGAATTAACCTAAGTAACTTTGAAAAACAGTATATTGACTAGATACTAGAAAGTTAAAGACAAGAAAAAACTTGTATACAAATAGTGCATTCTAATTGACAAATGTTCCTCAGAAGGGTGAGCAATTGGTCACTACTTGATGTGCATTATAAAATTGAACAAATAAATTGGTATACAGCATTACAGATAATGAAGCCAGGTTTCTCACCATTAGAAAAAAAAAGTCACAAATAAGAAAAGGTTGAGAAAAAAAAGAAAAAAAGAAAAGGTTGGTATGAACCTTGTGGTGTTGGGACTGGAATAGAACATATAACTATGAACTCAAATATGGTTTTAATATATAGAGAAAGACAAATATAGAGATAAATGTGTGTATATCTGTTTGCATGTGTGAGCAGGTTAGTATACACATGTATTTCTTTGCTCTGTCCTCTGAGGGCCTAGGAGCAATGACACCCTAGTGAGCATACCCAGCATTCAGGTCTTGATTTAAATTCTGGTCTCCAAAAAAAGGAGTTGATTTCAGGACAGATACAAGGAAAATTACAAGATGAGCACAGACTACAGCCTGTGGTGCAAGAGTATAAGGAAGTGCTAAAACAAGTGTGGAAGCCAACTGGAATGAGTTCCTAATGGCCAAAACTGGAAGAATCTGAGCAACAAAATAATGACACTATTGGATGAGAATCTTTAGTATACCCATGAAGTCACACTCATCAAAATAGATAATTTAACAAACAAATGAGGAAGGAACATCTCTCTCAGGAATGAGGGAAGTAAAAAATCACCAGCAGGAAAAAAATACCACAATAATAACTGCTGCAGACAATATATACCAATGGCTGCTAAAATCAGTGGGAGAAAATTTGAGGAGAAATAGTGTATCACCATAGTCTCAAACTATCTCCCCTAAGATTATGTATCAACTACAAAAAGAAGAAAAGTAATTTATAGTGGAGAATACAGCAGAGTTCACCTTAAGCAATCAAGGTTAAAATATCACTAGCAATAAGACACATCAACACCATGTACCCTCTAACATCATGCACTGAAGACACATCCCCTCTGTAGTTTTCTTGCGAACATACAGAACCCCAATCTTATCATATGAAAAACATGACAAACCCAAAATGAGAAAAATTATACAAAATAATGGACCCGTACTCATCACAAGTGTCGAGGTCATGAAAGAAAAGGAAAAACAGAGGCACTGTCACAGATTGGAGGAGACGAGACAAGAAAGTTGTAACAACTAAATGAAATGTGGGATCCTGGATTAGATCCTGCAAGAGGGGAAAAAAAAAATACACTGGGGAAAAAACAGGTGACATTCAAATAAAGTCTGTAGTTTAATTAATAATATTTCACCAATGCAAATTTCCTGGGTTTGATCACTGTTATGTAAGTCCTCAAAAGTTGAGGATGCTATGTGAAGGGAATCTGGAACCTTTTGTACTATCTTTGCAACATTTCTGTAAGTCTAACATTATTTCAAAATAGTTAAAAATAAATGTGTGTGTGTGTGTGTGTGTGTGTGTGTGTTCAGTCATGTCTGACTCTTTGCAACCCCACTGACTACAGAGCCCACAGACTGTAGCCCACTAGGCTCCTCTGTCCATGGGATTTTCCAGGCAAGAATACTGGACTGGAGTGCCATTTCCTGCTCCAGATCTTCCTGACCCAGGGATCAAACCGGTGTCTCCTTTGTCTCCTGCAATGGCAGGCAGGTTCTTTATCACTGAGCCACCTGGGAATCTCAAAAGCTAAAAATAAATAAAGTCCATCAATTGATCATTTTATGCAACTTTCTTAATTCCTTGCTCAGGGATCTCATCTGGAATTTAACATTCCCATTAATTTAAAGGGTTCAGTAAGTGACAGCAGAACAAACTAAAATCATAAATATCAGATCTGGCATCTAAAAAGTAAATTACCTACTTTATGTTTTTTTACACCTTCTACATTTTTTAGTCAAAAAAATCTGCTGCCGTTGCAACTTTACTGGCTTTGCAAACTCCTTTTAAAATGAACAATTTTTACATTTTTAGTATCATGATAATCTCCGGTGTGTACCCATAATAACACATTCGTCTGTTAAACCAAAGTTTTATTTACAAAAAAATTATCAATAGATTATAGTAAGTTTGTTAATTATTACACAGTTGTCCAACCACAAAATACAAGCTTTTTTTCACAAGTTAATTTGCTTTTATCCTAATACAAACTTCTCTCCACACCCTAAACCACAAAGTCATCATTTTTGTTATTTTAAGTTCTGAAAATCTGTATTTTAAAAAAATCAAAAAAAATAAAAAATAAAAAATCAGCTGTTCAATGTATGTAGTCTTTTTTTAAAAATTTCAAATATTGAGTAATTTAGTCTTTTTCTAGGAAAAAATGCTTGGGACATTAGAATTCTATTTTATTATTTGCATCCTCTACTAACCAAACCAGCCTAATCAAGTCTTCTGAAATTGCTTCAATTAAATAAGATTTTCATATGTTTATATAATATTAACAAAGAAATTAAGTGACGTGTTCACATTTGCTTTCTCCTCCACACACCACCAGGATGGCTGCATTGGGAATGGAATACATGACCAGCAAATGAATGGGTAAGTGTCACATGCAAACAGCATGACTAGAAATTTAAGAAGCAAAGTGATAAGAACCTTAGGGAAAGCAAAATTCATAAAAAGTTTAGAATTATAAGAGGCCTTAATAGGTCACTTAATCCATTCCAATGACAACCCCAAATAGATGACAATCTATCCTACTTTTAAAAGCATCCAGAGTTTCAACATCCCTAGATGTCTCATTCGGCCATATACAACCATCACCCGACTTGAGGAAATTATTAAAGACTATTCTTTGCTCCACCTAATGCTTTCTTTCCTCAAATAATATAACAATACATTTTAACTCACTTCCAAGATTTATGAACTGTGTACAGGTGCTTAATACACATGCGTGTATATACATACACATATATGCGTACAGACACCTAGGACACTCAATTTTGCTTCCACAAACACTAACTAAAATCTACATAGTCAAAGGCACATGTCCATCCCATTCCAATCACAAAAGCACTAGGAAACAAACAATGTCACCTAATGCTTTTGGTCTAAAAATAACCACTGGAAGTCAATTTTATAAAATCTTATGGTAAATAGGTTTCTTCCCACTACGAATAATCAAAGTTTATTTGCTTTTCACAAACACTACTCCTTTACAGCACCGTCACCACAGGCAGAATTGTAAAAACACATATGTACTAGATCAAGTTGATGATAACTTTTAATGTTTTATTTTTCAAGAGCATTTAGCAAACAATCATTTTGGAAGAGGGCCCAATGAAAGAGATAGTGATGATAGAGTACAGCCAGTGCTAATGAAGTAGCCAGTTTTAATCAAGCAAGCCTAAGAAGTGACTCAAATAAAACAAAACAGTTTCGCAAGTCCCAATCAAGGATGAGCCAAACACTATTTGAAAAAATTAAAGTGTCTGTTAGGAAACAAACCAAAATGTTAAGCTTGACATGCTACCTCTGGAAATGGAATTACAAGGATAGGTTAGTTTGCTCAGATTTGGTATTCCCTATTATTCTGAGTATCCTTATTTTCTACAGTATTGCACAAATCGTTTTTAAATTAAGGCAAAGTCCGTCCCTGTGTTTTACAGCTCTCTACGATGCATAGCATGTCTTTTACGTAACCTACTGGGAGAGGTGGGAGGTGGTATCAGCTCTGGTCCTCCTCGTGTCTCCCATGAACCTGCTACCCATCACAAAAAAGGTTTCACCATGTTCTTTGAGACAGCTCCTGTCATCATCCTCCTCGTTTCACCCCAGGGACTTAACAATGCATCTCTTCTCCTCTCCCGGTAGCAGAAGCTTTATAAATTATGAGACGGAAGATGCGGAGAAAGGTTTACCAGATGATGAGGCTTCCCCACCCAAAAGGCATAGAAAAGGGTTGAAAGGCACGTCGTCCCAACCTCCAACCTTCAAAAGGCAGATAATGGTGGGACACCGGGGTCGCGGCTCTCCTCGGATCCCGAAAAAAGAGTCGGGCCGCCAATCCACCCCACCCCACCGCCCGCCCCGGTCCAAGCCCTGGCTGGGGGCGGGGCTCTCGTTAGCGGATAAAGGGGTGGGGAAGAAGGTCAGGGATGCGACCACCGAGGGCCGAGGGACAGGTAGCAAGCCGCTGGAGGGGCGGGTCCCTCCGCCCTCTGGGGCCGGTAGCTCGGCTTCTAATGCGGCTCTGCAGGCGCCTGGGCGGCAAGAGGCCTCAGGGGGCAGGGGAGCCGCACCGCGCCAGGAGAGTTTCCTCAGGCCTCCGCTTGCCGCCCACCCGGGACCCCTGCGGCCCCTCTCCGCGGTGGCTCCCGAACGGTTCCGGCCGGCCATGCAGGGCCAGCGGTACGCACGCACAGGCGGCCAGGAGGGCAGAGAGGAGGCGTTACCATACGCGGCTCCAGAGCTGACGGGGCTGGGACAGGGCTCCGGCGACCCGCGGCAGCGGCTGCGGTGGCCGCGTCCTTTATTTTTGCTGCAGCAGCGGCGACTTGTCAAAGGGAAAGACGTAAGAGGCGGCGGCAGCGGCGGCAGGCGAGTCTCGCGGGACTTGAGCGGAACTCTCGCGCAGTTTGGAGCCCTCGCCCCGCCCACCAGGCCCAGCGCGGGAGGTGAGAGCGACTGGGGGAGGAGCGCATGGGCGAGGTTGTTGGAGGACGGCGAAAGGGAGGGGGATTTAATAGATGGGGGTGGGGAGCCGAGCTTCTGGGAACACCCCGCCGCGGCGTAGCCCTCACCTTTCAGGCCTCGCGGAGTCTGCACTGCTCGGATTCCGCCTTTGAACAAGTTAGGGGCGTTTCATAAAGGGCAGTGAGGAGTAGGGGGGCGGCCAGCGCGCCCCCTTTTCCTCGTGGTGGGCGTGGAAGACCCCACCGGGATGGAGGGACGCCGGGAAAAACTGGCTGCAGGGGCTGGGCAGCCACACCCCTTTATCTCGGACGCGCGCGACGCACTCAGTGTGCATTATCTCCCAGCTCAAGACTTCTGGCCGGTCAGGTTCAGTCACGTGAAAGCGTTTCACTTGACTGAGTTCTAGCTTATTCGTGTCTTTGCGCTGCAGGAATGCCAAAACCCCGCAGACGCTGGGGCCTGCGACGACTCTCAATTTTTTTTTTTTTTCCTGAGCAACACGGGTAAATTATGACCTTGATCTTGACCTCTACAATGAAGTCTGAGTGAAGAGACCGTGACTGGCTTAGTCATCACTGTGTCCCCCAGCACCTAACACCGGTCCAGGTGCTCACTAGATTGTCGAATGACTATACCGGGCCGCTTCTTCCTTCTGTACCTGTTTTTAGTCCAAGACTGCATTTTTAGCCTAATCCTGGTATCCTTCGTTGAAAATATGTGTCATTGACTGGGATCATGGAGCCGATCTCTGCCCTCACAATGTAACTGGGGACATGAGGAATGTGCAATATACAGGCCATGTAGATGTCACTAATGTAAAAAAATTGTGGTATAGGCAGAAAAGGGAGTGCTTGCCCCATGGATATATGGGAAGCAGTTTAGCCCAAGAGTTACTTGACTGACTGTCAGATAATTTATCTCACTGTCAGACATAGGTGAGAGGGAATTCTGGAGTCCCACTCAGGAGGTGTGTGACTTTGGACAAGTTGCTTGACCTCTCTGAACCTCAGAGGGCCTTTATCTGTTAACTCATAATGTTAGTTCTTATTATCACAGGGTGTCTGTGAAGAATAAAATATATATAAGTCTCTTGACACATTAATTAATCATTAAAGGCTAAGCCTTATTGTGTGTGTAACTTTCTAAGTTTCTACCTGTGAAATGTATGACTATTTCTGGTAAACTAGATGTGAGGGAGTGGGTATCTGTGAAGTGATGTCATTATTGCCAGTGCTTTATGATCTGGGTATTGTATGTAAAGCTGAAATAAGGTTAACAAGCTCCTTTGCCAGCCTCATTTTAGCTTGTTGATGATGTAGGCATCAGTTTGCCACTCGAAGCATCCCATGACATTCCATTTTTCTTGGATTTGTAAAACTTCACTGGAACTCCACTTTTTTTAAGGTCAATTGAGACATTCCCTCCTTTGCCCTCTCCGTAGCTTCCCCCCTCAGGACAGTGTGGAAAAGAGAAAGGGATACAATTGACTCCAATTGCATACAATTATGAAATACAAATAATATCAGCAAGTAAGCCCTGAATTCCTTTCACCCTCACCTTCATCACTCCTCCGCTTTCCTGGCCACTCTTTAATACTCAAATCAAATCAACATCTGCTGGGGACTTTGCCGGTGATCCAGTGGCAGGGGGCCAGAGTTCAATCCCTGGTCAAGAAACTAGACTAAAAAATTTTCATGCCGAAACTAAAAGATGCCATATTCCGCAGTGAAGATCAAAGACCTGATGTGTCACAACTAAGACCCGGTGCGGCCAAATAAGATATTTTTTAGAAACAACAACAAAGAAAAACATCTACTGAAGTCTCATAATCAGCATCACACTCCAAATTCTACCAGTTGATTTTATTCAAATTTCCCCTGGAGAAAAATGTTGGAGATGAGGGGGTGGGGTCATGGAGAGCTGGTGGAAATAAAGAGAACTAAAAGCCAAGGCCTCATATTTATAGGCTCCTGCCCTGATCTTGGAGCTACACACTCTGACCACCACAATCAGCTACATCTTTTCTCACACACACATCATCCCCATCTCATACCAAATACTCCACAACCCTACAACTCAACCAGGAGGTCCCAGATAGAGGAAGTGGGAAATCAACAGAAAAATACATTTTTTTCATCTTTCATCTGCATATGGGGAATATGATGCGAAGAGCTGACTCATTTGAAAAGACCCTGATGTTGGGAAAGATTGAGGGCAGGAGGAGAAGGGGACAACAGAGGATGAGATGGTTGGATGGCATCACCGACTCAATGGACATGAGTTTGGATAAACTCTGGGAGTTGGTGATGGACAGGGAGGCCTGGCGTGCTATGGTTCATGGGGTCGCGAAGAGTCGGACAGGACTGAGCGACTGAACTGAACTGAAATAAAAAGTGGGGCTAAGTCAGAGGTGAAAGGAACCAACAGAGGAGTGAAGGGTGGAGGCAAAACAGAAAGTTGAAAAGGTTCAGGGGGTAAGTTTGTTTTGGGCTCCAGTGCAGAAATCCACGATCATGAGTCCTGGTGTCTCTTGAAATTGCAGCTTATCTGCCCTCAGTTTACACAGCCTTTCTGGATCCCCTTTAACATCTGTAAATAGGGCCAATAATGGATATTTTGCCTGCCTTGAGGTATCATGGGAGTCGAATAACACAGGAAAGTACTTGTAAGCCTAAAACTCTGCAGATATGATGCATTATTTTCATTCATCCATTTAACAGATCTTTGTTGAATGCCTATCATAAGTCAGGCACTTGTGCAAGACACAGAATATATTAAGTTGAGCAAGCTTTAATACCTACCTTCAATGAGCTTATGGTGTAATGGGAGGGGGAAGGGAAGAAAATTGATTAGTATAATACAGTGTGAGGAGACTGGAAGTGACAAGGGTATGGGGGGAAGAATTGAGTGAGAGGAAGGCTGAACAGGGCTGAAACACTTCTTGGAGAAGGTTTAGAAGGCTAGCACACATGAGGATCCAGCCCATTTCCTAAAGAGTGATTCATAAATCAACTCCAAAATAACTTCAAGAAATTGCTCTGTTGTGGGTTGTGAATTTTGCTTTGTTCTAATAAAACTCACATCTCCTAAACAATTAGAGAAGAGCCTTTGATGTGGAGTCATTGTACATACCCATTAGCTTTGAAGAAAGATGGAATTAATGGAGGGAAAAATCAGTGGTATCTTCATTAGAAACATTTGGTTCTTAAAGCTTCTGTTTAAACACCAGGGAAGGAGAATACATTCCCCTTCAAGGACTTGGTCTCCAGGAGTTTCCTTCAGCCAGTCTTTCTGATCCAAGTAATACTGCCTATCAGAGAAGCTTTTCCAAAATGTGAAAACAATACCTTATTTGTATGTGTTTCTTTATATCCCACTTTTTTTTTTTCACAAAAAGACTTTTAGATAGATATCAGCACTATCCTTAAGCATGTTCCAAGAGAGTGTATATATTATTCAATTACTTCTCACATTTATTGGTGCCTGCTGTGTATAAGACTTCATGCTGAAACTACAGGCTGTACGAAGCAGGTCCATGCCATTTGGGTCCTGAAAAGTGAAGATGGAGATAAATGTCCATGAAAAGATAGCTAAATTACCAACATTGTGGTTTCCATTCCCCTGTAATTTTTGTTGGTGGAATGAGCAAAATTGTAAAGTTAGACACCCAACTTCTGAAACTCATTTACCTTACCACTCCGCAAGAGAAGCAGGATCCAAAGGAAGGGTGAGATATTTATTGTAACTTGATATTTATAGATGTATGATAGATATTTTAGTAGGTCCTCTGGAATACATCATTCTTTAAACAGAGTATAACCCATTGCAGTTTTCTCTGGGTACTCGTAAAATTGGAAACTGACCAAACCCAAGGACTAATTAAAATTATTCTGGAAGACAAAGACTTGCATGGAACAAACAAAACCAGCCATCAATAAAAAGCAGTATGATATGAGCTAAAAGATTGTACAGAAAACAAATAGTCTCAAAAAAGAGATTTTTAGACAGAACTTCACTCTGGAGCTGATAGCTAAATAGAAAAAGTTACATATTCTGATAATAATGTATTCTCAAAATACCAACCTCCAGGTCACAAAAGTTGCCTAGAATTTTTGTTAAGTGCATCTACATATGAGAACACACTCCATACCTATTTTCTCCCACTCGGTACATCTTTTCTCCCTAACGAATCATTGATCTGCCAAAGAGATTTCAAGGGAAGCAGGGATACTAAAAATAGGACCACAAGTTTGACAGGTAGTTCTTTTGGAAATGGAGTCCCTTGTCATTGAATGCAAATTTTACAGAGTTCCCACTAGAAATTCACATTCTAAGTGAAATATCGCCTATAGCAGTGCCGGGATCCAGCCTCAGCAGGATCCAGGGGTACCCTCAGGATGAACGGCGTCGGCGAGAAAAGGAGAGAAGACACATAAGACCAGCCTTGCTAGGGCCAAGTCTGCCAGGGAGAGAGAGAGAGAGCGAAAGAGAGAGAATGACCAGACGGGGGTGCTTGCAGGGTCTGGCAAATCTTTATTTTTTACTGTAGCTTTATATTCTAAGTTAGTACATTTTTAGGGGAAGAAAGTTTAACATTACATCATCTTGTCCCTCAGGAAACCAGGGTGTTTACAGTAACTTCTTTGTGAGTGTCTTATACATTATCTTCTGGCCTTGGGGCCTATTGACATTTTATGACCTAGGTGAATGCAAAGCTGTTTTCCTATAATCTATTCTTTAATGAACACAAAGGTTAGTCCTTTTGCAGAAGTTATTAGTTGAATTTATCTAAAAGGTTTACAACACAAAGACTCTGCAGCTCTGGTGAGGCAGCCCCTGTTTAGCATTCCTGGTTAAAATGAACAATTCTAACCACTTTTAAAATAATATTTTTGTGTTACATTAATACGCATTTGCCAAGCAGGCTAGAATGCCAGCAAAGGGGTCTAAATTGAAACACTCCTTTCATCCTGGATAATCTTATAGGATACCGCCGTCCGGGGGACATGTTGATTAAAGTTCTAAGTTGATTCTGTTTGGAGAGAAATCAGGGAAGGCCTTCTCCCTGTGTCACAGAAATTAGGGAGTGGTCTAATATAG